AGAAGGTTGAGGACTAACACCTTAAAAGAAAGGTTAGTAGACAGAAAGATTACAGTTTTGAAAACATTTAATTGAAGGTAAAGATTAAGGATGTCCTCATCATTTTATTGTATTTACTTGATCCTGCTGAGTCCTTTAATAATGGGTAGCTACCAATAATGATCACATTTTGTTGTACTATTTTAGCCAATACCTATCCATAACAAATAATCCTGGATTGGCCCTGATACCAGTCCTTACAATCGGCTTAGGACATCTTTAGTAAAGATTAAATAAAATGTAAAATAATTACATAATTCAATAGTAAATACTTTATACTGATAGATAGATGGATCTAAAAAAGTATTTAATGATGAAAGTTAAACATGATAAAGTTGAAGATTTAGGTTTATAAAAGCCACAGAACTCGTCATTGTATATTTTAAATACTAGAGGAATTAAAAAATATATATAAACTGCTGTTTTCTGTTGACTTTTTTGCCAAGAAAAAGAGCAATTAAAGTCCAGTTTGTGTCCCCTAAATGCTTGTGACAGCAGGCTCTTGGATTCTTTACCACCTTTACTACCTTTGCTGGTTTAGAGGTATTTACACTGTACGTGTGTGTGTGTGTGTGGGTGTGAGACAGAGAGAGCGGGTGGAGAGACGCTGAGGTAGACTGGGGGAGAGAGAAAGAGGGAGAGAAACAGAGGGAGAGGGAGAAAGAGAGACAAAGGGAGTTAATCAAATGATTAATAGATAGAGTAAAATGGAGTCCATCCAGCAAACACAGAATGCTATCAAGCTCACACTTTAAACCACTGAAGGGTTTGTTTTTCTTGTCTTGGTTTACAGTTTTCAGCTTGCCTTGTTTTAAGCTTTGGCCATCAAATTTGGGGTCATGAATCACATTCGCACACATTTTTGCTTGCTGGATGTCACACTATTGCCCTTAATGAATGTTTATACTAGTCTATCATGATTATTCCCTTGACAATATTTTCACAACATTCTCACTAATGGTAGTGCAAGCATTTCAAAATTTGTGTTTCATTAATACTTCCCATGTCCAACTACACAGAACCAGAGGAGGAACACTTTGGCTAATTCAGAAAGAATGTTTTGACCATCTATGAACTCAGTCAGAGTTGTGTTGCTCCCAAAAAACTACAAATCCTGTATCAAAGTGAAGCACTGCATTGATATTTAACAGAATGTGATGATAATATGAGACCCGTTTGATCTGTGCTTCCTATCTCCGTGCCAGACTCGGGTGTCATATCATTTTCCAACACCACACTCGCTTTCATTTCCATGTGCAGACACACACACACACACAAACACCTACACACACACACACACACACACACACACACACACACAAACAATACAATACAATTTTAACTCAGTTATTTCTCCCCCTTACACCTAATGACAGCGCGGAACACTTTGATATATAATTTTAGATTCAAGACTTTGTAGACTCTCCATGGGAGTCCCCTCCTCTCAGAATATGTTGCTTTTAAGCAATTTCGGCTCTGTATTTATGAGGCTCGTGCTGCATTTTTTGCTTCAAAAAATCCAGAATGATAGGATTTTGACATTTAGAATAGGTGTCCATGAAATAGGTAATTTCTGCATATACATTTTTGTATATACCTATGTGGCTAAAACTTCCAAACCAATCACCACCCTTAGTGATCTCATATTAACTCATTTATTGAGTTATCCTTATTTTGGTTATAAGAAAAACTGAAAACAGAAATGTACTAAAAGTACTTACACTGCTACAAAATAATGAATTAATCAATGTCAAAAAATATAGCAATATGTGTTAAAATTAAACCTAATACAAAAATTGGAAAACCAGATCATTATATTTTAGTGTTTAATGTAATTTCATAAACAATGCATCATTTGTAGGTTCTTTATCTCTCGTTTGTAATATACTGGGTTTGCATGCATTTCCCCATATGTCTCTAACTGAGCAGATTATACAACTGTTATATAACACCTGTAGTGCTCAGTTAAATCATAAGTAATCCTGGTACTGTAAATATACTCAAAACAAAAGATGCAGTATCATCCCAGTATGCTTCCCCCTCCTTATGGCACACACACACCCACACATGTAAACTTTGCCAAAAACTTTAGAGAACCTCTGTGTCCGCAGGCGTGGCTAAGTCTTTGCTGCTTGTCTGAGTGATTGATAGCATTGCAGCTGGTCCCATCCATTCAGCTGTACTGTATTATACATGTTAAGTGGGAAGGGCTGGCCTCCTCTAATTTCTTTCATCCCTAAAACTGATATTCATCAGTAGAGAACTGTTTGTTGGTGTGTGTGTGTGTGATTGTGCATCTATGTGTTTAGGGTTGAGTGACTCATTCAAATTCAAGATGTTGTGTTGATTTTTTTCTTTTGCCATTTTAAGTTGTTTTGTAATAATACATCATAATATTGAATGATCAATACACAAAAGGAGAGTACTTTGTGTGAGTGTGTGCGCATGTGTATCTCCATGCACCTCAGGGCGGGCATCTAACAGATAGTCTTTCCACACTCACACAGGCCATTGGCAATCAGATGTTAAGTGGTCTCAGCATTATCTGAGCCTTAGCAGACAGTTTTGAGTCAGCTCAATCAATGTCCATCCATCCAACGCAGAAAAGCACCACCTCCAGGGCCCTGAGGAAGGGAGTTCACCAACGTGGCAAAAAGAAACCTGTCACTGAAGATTGAGTTTGAGCCAAGATGACGGTGCTTACAGAGAATCTGCCAGTAGAAACCCCAGTGGAAAAACCAAAAAAACTAGCGGAAGTGTTCAGTGAAATTGTAGTCTGTTTATTTTAGATCAGGAACATGTTGAAGGGAAGAAGGGGCGGCGGTTCAGTTATCCAACGAAGATCTGAACTTGCAGACGTAGGACATTGTGTTGCATGCAGAGCAACGCTTTAGGCAAGCCAGGAAATGTTGGCTGCTGCAATTTTTGTAATATTATTTTTGCATAAATTACTTTCTAATGGGAGAGAAACTAATTAGCTCATCGTTTCGAGAGGGGAAGAAAAAGTGTGGCCCTGGTGGGACGCTCGACATGTAAAATCAATGATGATTTGTGCAACAGCTTCTCAAATGGCGATGCAGTGGGCCACATGCTGATAGAGGCTTGTTGTACATGACAGTGCTCGACAGATGGATGGGTTGATGAATAGATGAATGACCGCAAGTTGCATTACCACCCAGAACATCATTCACACACTAACATAGGACTGAGGCATATGCAAGAAAATACTACATATAGTATGTAATAAGAACCACAGAAAATAATACAAGAAAACTAATTAAAAAATAAAGTGACATGTTGTGCCACTTTCCCTGTTGGAGACTGTTCACTTTTCCCTGCCAAATCTTTAGACTATACACTAACATAAGGAATGTTTAATAGGTGTAATGGTCTGCTTTAATGAAATGGCAATATACTCACCAGCCTGATGGAAAAACTGTTAACCCTAAAGAGAGACAGAAGCAGGGCAAGGAGCCACCTGAGCAGAATAATGTTGCTGAGTGGATGCAGAAATAGAGGTATAATTAAAGATTTTCCTACCGCCAATGTTGATAAAAGATGTACAAATGCTGAGTAACACTCTGCACATCACTTCATGTAATGTAAAAAAGGATAATCTGTTTGTTGATCACTTACAGAGATGGTTTTCTCTATACGGACAATTGACAAAAACAATGGGAAGAAACTATAATAATGATAATATTTTTTAAATATGCCGATGATGTATTTACTTTTTTTTAGCTATACAGGGCTCCTTGGAAAGCAACATGGATCAGTTTTGTTCTTCTTCCCTTTACAAATTTGCATTTGTTGTTATTATTATCAATAATAACAATGTCAGATATATTACTGGTAATGAATGTAAGCCTTAATGTCCTTTTTACATTAAATAAAAAAGAGTGTGTGACTTAAACACACAAATTAAAACAAAGAATAGAAATAATCCTGTCAAATGAAGGTTGTTCAAAACATGTTCAAGTAGGAACACTATGTTACCTGTCTCACCTGTCTCCTAACTATCATAGCCACTTGTGTAAACGATCATAAAATATTTTCTTAGCTTGTTAGCCTTGAAGACAGGATAATGAGCATTGCCTCAGGCATGACTCAGCCAATGTGTAGGTGCTCTCTCTTCATTGTGAGTGTGAGGAGTGTTTTTCTTCTGCTTGTTGTAAGTCCTACAGAGTAGAGCAGCATCTACCCTCAGAGACCCTGGGAAGCCCCTGAGGTGGTGTTTTTCAGAGATCATGAGGTTGAAACACTGATGGGTAATTTTGTTGAACCGTTTGTTCTTGTCAGACCGTTTGTACTGAGGTCTTTTATGCTGTCATCTAAAGGTTGATCTGCCTGAGGAGCACGAGGCTGACATGAATTCAATTTGCACTTACCATCCTCTTTTATTGCTGATGAGTCGTGTCTTCAACATTGCAGCAATCCAGAAAGTTAGAAAAACAACCTTCTGCTGTTAGACAACACACATTGTTCCAGCATGGGTTCCCCCATCTAAAAAAAACAAAAACGGTTCTGTACTATTTTTATCTTTTGGGAACGCTTCTTGTAACAATGTTTTATGGTAAATCTATGACTCTTTATTGTGGCTGCTTTTTCCTCTCCTCCTCCCGCCACCTCCCCCC